TGGGAATACTATGGTACCCATTATAAAACAAGAATATGTCCTTCTTTTGGGGTATAGTATTTTGCATGAGAATATTATCTTACTAGGTTCAACCACCAAAAAAACACTACTCAGTTGGGTCAGAAATCTTAACTGAAGCCGAGAGCAGGCCAGAATGGCCTCTTCCAACCTTTGAAGATGTTCAGCTTCATAGCTGACCATCAAACTACTACATAGGGTTTAGGGTTAGGGGTTTAGGGATTGGAGATATAGTGGGGTAATGGACAAGAAAATGGAAACTACCATAGTATATTGTAGTAAATTTTGGGATAATGGAAAAGAAGATGGCAACTACTATTTGGGGTTTAGGGTTTAGGATTGTCGGGCAGTTGTGCACCTCAATCGTGGCGTTGTTGTGCCCTGGCTGTTTGATATCAGAAGGGGTCAACTCAATCAAGCCGAGTTGGATAATGGGTTTAGGGTTTAGGGAGCATTGAACCAAACAATCATCCCCGCATTTGTGGCACAATTCCGGCTATCAACCTAACCCTGCCGTGATCATCAAAACCCTAAACCTAAACCCTAAACCCTACACCCTAAACCCTAAACCGTCCAGGTTCATGCGTGACTTGGGTTCCCACGTTGAAGGCAAGCATTGGGCACGACTATCTTACCTGATGTACCCGCAGAAAGTTTCACCAACAGTCATGTCATGATGTAAACCTAAGCCCGAAATATTAGCTTCCATGTTGTTTTCCTTTATTCATATATGTATATATAAATATATATGGATCCCTGTATAAGCCCTGTAGCAACAATTGCCTCGCATGAATGGAACCCATCTTCACCATAAGCCTTACAAACAAAAACACTTGGGCAAATTCAGGATGTTGAGAATGAATTCTGGGTTTAGGGTTCAGGGTTTACGGGGTCTAAAAGTTTAGGGTTTTAGGGTTTTAGGTTTATGTGTTAGGGTTTAGTGTTTCTCGTTGAGAGAGTCCGTCTCAAAAAATATCAAGAAACCTAAGCCGAACTCAGATGCACTCGCCGCCAGGCTTCTGAAAGCCATGCTGGACAAGGCAGGGAAAGGTTCTGGGGCCATCAGTCAGGTTTAGGGTTTAGGGTCTCGAGTTTTGCTTCATAGGCCGTTGGGATTGCTATTAGCTCTACAATGCTAATTTCGAGTCAATGCTGCAACATGCAACCTAAAGCATCATTCTGTTTGGTTCTGAGAACTCTTAGCGAGCCTGCGGAAATCACAAAAAGGGCATACCTTTCCAGACCATAGGTGGGTATGGAGCGCCAAAGTTGATATGGGGCTGACTGCGAGGAAATACCAGAGCAAGGATGCGTTTGACCTAGGCTAGGCTGACCTGGCCCCCACTTGCCAGAGGCAGGGTTGAGCCTAAACCCCAAATCCGAAGCCCTAAACCCTAAGTCCTAAATCCAAAATCCTAAGCCCTAAACCCTAAACCCAAAATCCTTGGCTCACACCTGCAGGATCCACAGAACTTGCAGAAGGTCCTCAACCTGTTAATGTCGCCTGCCCAGCATCAGATGGGCCAAAGTCTAGACCCCTTGAAGCGGTTTAGGGTTTAAGGGTGGGTCTAGGGCTTAGGACCTCAACCCTAAACCCTAAACCGCTTAGGGTCTAGGGTTCAGGGTTTAGGGATATTGATGGCTGGAGGTTGCTACGCCTCGTTATTGCTCCTCCTTCTCCTCATTCTCCTGTGGCTCCTCCTCTCCTCTTGTTGTCACACGGTTTAGGGTTTAGGGTTAGGGTTTAGGGTTTAAGGTTTAGGGTTAGGGTTTAGGGTTTAGGGTGTTTAAGCACGACTGGAGGGTTCCCTACATTGGTACAACACGAGTCCAACGGGGTTCCAATTATAGTGTTGGTATAACATGAGTCCAGCGCCATGGCTTTCAATTACAGCTCGCGTCTCTACCGCAGCCTTTCGCACCTTGACTGCAATAGTTCTTGATACAACCTCCGATTCAGGGCTGTAGACTATGCCTGTCGTGGTGGTTACATGTTTGCCGAGTCCAATCCGCCGCAACTCTAGAGTCTCTGTTTTGGGCGGATCCCTACACGAAGGATGAGGGCAGTCGACATGAACTCGGCCTTCCCCCGTGAACCTAAAGAGAGGTTTAAGCTGCTGAGGAACGACAACGTGAAGGGGTTCTATGCCGCAGCCTCAGCTTACAAACACACGCCAATGTCTTTTTACTGGTCTTGTTCTTGAACAGCGGTTCATGTCGTCTTTTTGTATTGGGTTTCAATGTGTGTTCCTGGTTGAGGCATTCTGGGTCTTTCCTTCAGTGCGGGCTTTCAAATTGCTACTGTTGTTGCGGCTATTATGCCCATGCCAAAAGAGGTGTCAGGAGTAGCCTTCCAAAAGGAACCAGAAGCCTTTACACCACTTGGGCCTGCTTCTTAGGCCGATCTTTTGAAGGGGCCTCCTTCTGATATGGTTTGTCGCATCGTGCTGCTCGCGTCCTCCAAGGAGGCTTGCCATA